AAATACTCACCGTAACTTGGAGGTCTTAAGCTTCCTATTATTTGTCGGACAATATGCATGAGCAATGATAAAATCAAAACTTTCCTGGTGCATTTAACAAGCCAACATTTGCTTTATATATGAACCACAAACTGTCTACAATTTACAAATACATACTAGATGGCAGATTCCCGAGACTTACTGAATACACCCATTTTCCACACTGACGCAGCCTAAATTTTTTAACAACAAATTCTGAAATAACAATTACTATAGAGCGACAACACCACACATACATGGCCATAAAAGTGAATCGAATGACAAATGCCGCAAGAACAGCAAATAAGCTAAAATCACCTTTTAATCAGTGTATTAAATTTAATAAATTTAGAGACGCATTGCTGAATTGGGCCAAATTAATAATTTTTTTGAAGCAACAGTCCCCAATTTGATTATTTTCCTTGACTTATCTGGAGCTAGAAATCTGGGATATAGTGAATGGCCCACTTGATGCTGTATATTCCTGACTAAGATATCAAAATTACTAATAAACAGGCTAAATCTGATACACATTTTGGGAGATAACTTCACACTAAAATACTCAAAAGACCTGGCCAAAACTTACTTCAAGTGCTTAATTTATAAGAATTAACAAAAATTAAGTTACAAATGCAAACTTAGGCATAATTGCAAAAAGTAACCAAAATAAGGTGACTACTAATTTTGCTCAAAAGGCATGCATTTTTGCATTATGAAATAATTGCTATGCTCAATGTGTCTTGACCGGAAGCTGTTACACGGCAACTGCGTCCGATGGCTTGCTGTTTGGTGGATAACCTTCTAATAAGTAGGCAGAAGAGATACTTCGTGGCCGACTTCCTCGGCTGTTGCGCCTGAGGATGCGCTGGGGACGAGGAGGGGATGCATTGCCGCAACTTGCGTTGAAGGTTGAGCAAGTTTGGCAGGTCTGCCAGAGCACAGCTTTACAATTTCGACGATTGCTTTTCTTGGCTGACCGCCCGATTAGCATGTACTCGAGTTTTTCTGCAGCCTTATGACAATTTCCTGTATTCTTGTCCTAAAATTAGGGCCTCTGCGGCAACGGGGCCTTCACTGTGACGGTCGCTAGGACAGTCATTCTATACATAAAAATCTTCTCATTCTGGAATTCAATTCGACTTTTCTTTTCAGAAGAAAATGAACCGCTAAAGCCACACATTCAGATGTGCCAAAGGGTAGGTTTAATGGTGTTTATTAAGAGCAATAACTTCCAAATGACGACTTTCTTTCGCCTACCACTGCTTCCAATAATGCAAATAAAATGGATGCTGGCTTATAGTCTTAGCAACCAGCACACTCTAATGGTACCAACCACACAAATATTGACAATGATAAAATAAGCGAAAAAGTTGAGTTGTAATGTTGATTTGTCTGCCTCAGAGCACTGGCATTGGTGAAAGCTGCGCTGCTGACAACGCAGTCAAGCCCACATGAGACTAACTACGAGGTTCAAGGCAGAATGGTAAAAGTGATTCCTTCCAGATATGGTGGAAAATCTAGGATTTAATGTCAAGTTTGACCTTGAAATAGCTACACATAGGTCCCGAGGTATTGGTCAGCTACGCCAAAAGGTCACAGGTAATGCATATCCTGACTAAGTGATTGTATGTGGTAGAAACTTTGGCCCAAAGTCTTGGGTGAAAAGGAGTGATGGCGTCGTTTGGCATTACAAACAGCGGTAAGGAGGACTTCTTCGGCAAGCTTTATCCCGTGAAATTGGCCGACTAAACTGAACAGAGATGTTTATAGGGGACCAACATATGCTGGTTCTGTTGTGAATTTGGCTTTCTGACGAGGGTTACAAAACTAGGATTTTAATTAAGAAAAATTAACGGTTATCAGAAGAAGGCTTACAATTTGAAATTCTTTAAATAGGCTAAAACGGTTATTCCTCGGCAATAGTTACCCTTCAGGCTTAATAAGATAGCTCCTTTTTAAGATGGATTACATTTTTCGACAGCAAACGTTCGGTAAGAGGTCGGGAAACGGAGACATTTTCTCATATCCTAAACTTATTTCTAAAAAGATGGTCAGACTTGGAAGGAGCTTTCAAAGAAAATCTTATCTAAATGGGAATTTGATATATTCTACAGGTCCAGCTATCACAAAGCTGCTGCTGCGTGTGTGACACAAAAATATTGAGTGTGAATGCCAGTGGGGGCCGAACAAACATCAGAAACCGGACAGGAAGTAGAATGCCCTGAAACACATGATATTGCCAATTATAGTGAGTCTGCTGCTAAGCACAAAATACTGGATTATAATAAACAGATCGTGGAATACACGGAATTTAGGTGCTAGGAGTAGGCAGATGGGCCAAAGCAATTTGGTTGCTTGACTGGTAGACTTAGCACATGCGCACACACAGACACACACAGACACACACAGACACACACTAACTCAGACATATAAGGAATAAGAGTATTACGAAGAGAAACTAAATCATTCTATATTTACTCAAGTGCATCTATATATTTTCTGTTACATTTTATTTGTTTTCGTTGGCATGAAAAGAAGAGCCCATTCGTAATCTGACCCAGATCTGGCATAACAGACGTAAAGTCAGCACGTTTTCACCAGAACCGAAGGAGGATGTCATATGGCTGAACGTCATGATGAGACCAAACGACCTCAGCTGTTGTTTTGTGCTGAGGTCGAGCAAAAATCCCTTCAGCACGTATATTCACGCTGAAGGAAGGTCGCCATGGCAATTGTTGTTTTTGCCATGAGGCCTTTTTCGTCTGATCGTGGGTGAGGGTCGGCAAAACAACGAGCAGTACAAAGAAATATCGCTTATTACATTTCGCCTGAAGCCTACATATGAACAGTCCATTAGGACGCCAAATGCAGCAGATGCTAAATCTGGGACGTTTATTATGCTTTGTTGAAGGTTCCTGGTTGAACAGGCCTGGGCATTCTGGTAGACTAATTTCTGGAAATGGGTATATCTATTTGCAGTATGATGATGTTTCGAAACTATCAATTCCTCATGAACAAGAAATTGTCCAGTTTGAGTCGTCTAGGATGATGTAAGAATATGTAGTGCAATTTTACTCGCTATCGAACAACTATGCCTCATGATACCGTCACATCTTGTTCGGTCTCACCTCCCAAAATGTCCCCAGGCTGGGCCCAACCAAGATTATATTCCGGGTCATGTACATCACGACGACACGTTGCCACTCCGTTTCATAGTAACATGGCAAAAATGACTATCCAAATAGGCCAGGCATCTCCTGTTAATCTTTTCGGTATGAGTATGATTCGAAACTATTCCTAATGTATGAATGAAAACTTAACCGCCATAGGTCATTTATTTGGTTTCTCTAATGCCGCATCGGATAGGATGGCAGGACTCAAATCTGGCCTGATACTGAATTTGACGAAAATGCATGCAGAAGTCGCTAAACTGAATCTCAAATCCATTGTTCCAACTACACTTTGAGTCAAAGAGCCGACTGAATGCTCGAAAATGCGCACCCTTGAAGG